TATTGAGTCATTGTTGTTTTTTTCTATAGACAATTTAGAACAAGTAGAGTTTAAACTATTTTAGTTATTTAGACATTTAAACTTATTTTTTGCAATGTTAGTGTTATAGTTTAATTTTATAATAAAGTTCGTAATTTAAAATTGGCTTTTAGGTGAATTCAGACAGGCGATTTGTAAGTTTGGTAAATTTTAACAATTTCAATGGTATAGTTTAATGATACACGCTAACTAAAGATTATTACTTTATTAATAAACACTAAAGGTGTTACATATCTAATTTGTAGTTTGAACGTTGTTTTTATAATAAAGAATCTTGTCTTTTAAATAACTTATTCGAAAAGATATTCCTTAATAAATAAAGTTTATTTATTAAGGAATATCTTTATGAATAAGTTATTTTAATATAAATTTATTAAACTGTTTCAAATTATTATTTGGCCACTATCTAATCTTTATTTATAACTTAAATATTTCTTTTGCTGTTTTAGATGCTCAAAGTTATAGTGAAGTTGTAGCCAACAACATCAGTTAGTTACTTTCTGTATTTAATAGCTTAGTAGTTATTATATAGTATATATAATATATATATATATATATATATATATATATATATATATATATATATATATATACATAATATATATATTTACATATACATATATATATATAACAAAATTTACATATATATATATATATATATATATATATATATATATATATATATATATATATATATATATATATATATATATATATATATATATATATATATATATATATATATATACATAATATATATATTTACATATACATATATATATATAACAAAATTTACATATATATATATATATATATATATATATATATATACATAATATATATATTTACATATACATATATATATATAACAAAATTTACATATATATATATATATATATATATATATATATATATATATATATATATATATATATATATATATATATATATGTATATATATATATATGTATATATATATATATGTATATATATATATATATATATATATATATATATATATATATATACACATAATATATATATATATATATATATATATATATATATATATATATATATATATATATATATATATATTTGTGAAAATAAAGTTCATTTAATTTCTGTTTAGATGAAGTTGCTTTAGAGAGGATCAGTCAGTTAAACCCCTATTATATGATTTAATAATTTAGTATTTAGTCATTTACTACTAGCTTCTCTTACTGTGATGGAGACATTTAAAGAGGAAACAGCTAGTGCATAGCTTCACAATATAGATAGTGAGGAATTAATGGGTATGTTTAGTGATGCAAAAGTATGGTTTCCTAATGCAACAATTTGCTATATCACTTGCAAACTAAGATCAAAAAAGAATAGGACTGTTGACTATCTAGACACTCCAGATTTAAGTTTAAGAGAAAAGATTGTTAAACGGTCAATTAATGTAGCACGTAAAAACAAATTTACATATTGACTGAATCAATGCAAAGTAAGAGATGAGATTTGCCAAAGACAAAAAATCAAGTGGCAAAGTTAATAAAAGAAAAAATGACTTCATTTACACCATTTCTTACTGGAAAGATGATGAAACTGATATTGAAGCTGCTGACTATTGCATGAAAAAGACCCAGCATGCTGCTGATATTGTTTCTGGTGAGTTACAATTTAATGAATTTAAAAACACAAGTGTTGTGACTTGCCTAAATTATATAGCAAGTCTTGTGATTTGCATAAATAATACAGCTTGTGTTGTGACTTGCCTAAAATATATAGCAAGTGTTGTGACTTGCATAAATAATACAACAAATGCTGTGACTTGCCAAAAATGTATTTCAAGTGTTGTGACTTGCATAAATAATACAGCTAGTGTTGTGACTTGCCTAAATTATATAGCAAGTGTTGTAATTTGTTAAATTTTTTGATACCCTCGTGTGCTGGCTATTATTAAAAATAATTAAAATATAGTTTTATTACTGGAATTAATCATATTAATCATTCACTAAAAACCAAGACAAAAATATATTAAATTATTTTTAAAATAATTAAATTTTTTTTTTTTTAATGTTAACATTTTATTTATTATTTATTTTGAAACAGAAATTTGTTTGTTAACCAAACAGAATGGCTAGCTCGTTAACCATACTGTATGGTCCTTACTTCTTTTAATGTAATAATCACATGAAAGACTTTAATATAGGTAGTTGCTATACTTGGTTATAAAGATGACATGTTTTTTACAGCCAATTGACTTATAATTATAGCCCCACAATAGTAGTTGTATAATTTTTTAAGTAATATATATCCAATTGGTTTGGTTAGAGGCATTCTAATGCCCCTTCCCTTATGATATATTTGGATAGGTCCTTCCTTATACTCCATTCTCTTATGACCATGGATGCACCACTAATGTATATTTTAATCTAGTGGAATATGTTTTTTACTTCTTTGTTGTTGTACTTTAAATATTCATTAAGGTATTTCAAGAATTAAAAATGTTTTTGATATTATAGTACTAAAACATCAACATATCTATTATGAGTTTTACATTCATCTCTCATATTTGGTGGTTGTCTGGTATGAATTTATTTTTTAAATTGTTTCCAGTTTCATAATTTTTTTTTAAATTTATTATTCAAATTTTGAAAACAGTAATTGCATATTTTTTCTTTTTTTTTTTTAGGTTGGGGGGGGGTCATACGCCCCTCCCATAATAGAAACACCACTTGTATACATAAGATCTTGTATAACATAATTTTATATTGTATACTAGTTTTACTCATTTTAGTAAAGATAAATATTTATAAAATCAAGTCGTTTTTGATACAAGGGTGTATCAAACCATCACCACCACACACACTATTATTGCTAACATACACCTCTCATATATTTTAGTTTAGTATAAATTTAAAACAATTTTTTTGTATATTTATATTGCTTATGTCTTAAAAAAAAACTTTTTTTCTAAAAAAGTGTTCAGTTTCACACGGGCAAGGTGGTGGTTTGGTACCCCCTCTGTCCATCCGATACGCCCGGCGGTTAGAATTTAATATAAAGTTGTAGCCCACTCTTACACCTATCTTTTGATGCCAAGATATTTGTTTTTTGATAAGAATTGACAAAGTTATGACAATTTAAGTGAAGAAAAACATTATTTTGACCACAGTTTCTTCAACAAATCCATATATAGAAAAATCGGTACTTAAACCGTCATAACTTTTGAACCAATTGTTCGATTTTGATAATTTTTTCACCTTTAAAATACTGTAATAATCCTCTTTCTAATGATATATAACAATATAGTATTCAAACAATTTGAAATTTTTACTTACGTACCTAATCCAGTCTATTCGCCTTCTTTTCTCAAAAGGCGTTTTTCCTGATGGAAATTTATAAAATTTTAATCCACATTCTTTTTTAAATTTGTTTGAACAACCAACTGCACAACAACTGGTTGGCATATTTTATTTCTTGTTAAATTAGTGAATCAGGGAATAAATAACAATCAGTGAATAAATTTAACATAAATGTCTTAATGTTTTTACTTGAAAATTTCCGATTATTTGTTTTTCTACCTACAAGTTTGCGCGCGCATCTTTTTTTGAAAACGAGAATGTAAACTTTTGAAACTCATCTATATATTGATTTGTTTTAAAAGTAGCTATATTAGCATAAACTTAAGGAGTTAAATAAGGTTTTTTTGTTTTGTAACTAGGGCGTTTCTAAGGTCAAAACTATTTAGCAATTCTTCAAAAATCCAACTTTTAATGTTTTATGTTATTAAATAATGGAAGATAAATATATCAAAAGAGGATAAAATTTGTAAAAAAAGGAATTCAAAAAAAAATTTTGACATTTTATTCCAAAATCAGTACTTTTTAATTAATGTACCACCTTAAAACTAAGAAATGTATTTCAGACTTTTGAATGGAAAATGCAGAAATCTTTTTAATTTTTTTCGGTGTACCTAACATTCAATAACTGACATAAACTACGCATAAAATCCTTTTGTTTAAACATTTTATTTGAGTTAAATGTGTAATCTTAGTAAAACTATATCAGAATATCTATTTAATATATGAGGTGCTGACAGCACCGTGCTGTGAGAAAAACTATATTAGATTATCTCTTTAATAATTTAGCTCAAAAGCACTCAGAACAAAAAAATAATATTTAAAATTACTATTTATTGAAAAAAATAATGAATTAACTCAAAATATATTAAATATTGAAAAAATAAATTACTATTTACTAGAGTAATTAGAATTTAATAAGAAGGCGATTGGGAATTGATTCAAATAATATTTAGATTAATTAGGAGATAATTTGGAGTTAACTGTAAGGAAATTTAGAGTAATTAGGAGATAATAGGAGTTAATCTTCTGATAATATGAATACGCTAATTTAATATTAGTCGAGTTACGTCATTTTCTTGGTTTTTCTATTTTAAAGTAGTTTCTAGGCTTTTCTATACGCAGTTTTTTTTTTAATTTTATTTACTAACAACGCGTATAACGGGCTGCTTACTGCTAGTTGTAAAGAAATATTTGCAAGTAAAATAATAAGGAGATAATCACGAGTTGATTGTAAAAAAATATTTGAAAGTATAATAATTTGGATATAGTTAGGAGTTGATTGTAAACAAATATTTGTTATTATTTTTAATACTTTTAAAGTTAAAACTTTTTTTATTTTAGAATAATCAAAATATTTTTTTAATTCTTATAAGCAATTGATGAAAACAGCCGTATTTTCCGAATGTTTGCTTGAAATTTCTTTTTTAAGTTTATTACTAGTTAAAGCTAAAATTTGTACCGGTTTGTTTTATAAAACCAAATGACCTTTTATAAAACAGCATCCGATTACATAAAATCACTCATCGACTAGTGATTTAAATGTATTATTTCATAATAAAAGTATTTAAAAATATATATTTTACTTAAATATATATTTGAAAATGTTACCTCCATTTTCAACTAACCATTTTACCATTGCTGAGTAATTAACAGAAGCTGCAACATGGAGAGGGGTTCTACCATAGTTATCTGTTTTATTTAAGTTTGCATTATGATCAAATAAAAATTGCGCAACTTCAAGAGGCCACCTCAAGGCTGCCTTAAAATTATAAAAAAACAAGCATAATTTAGATAAAAATACGGGTATGGATGAAAATTATGCTGAAAAGAAAATCTTTAAAGTAAAACACATACTTCGTGCATTACGGTTTGTCCAAAATCGTCGGAATAGTTTACATCTGCACCATTATTAATGAGTACTTTAATATAATTTAAATCCAAGGTTATACTTTCATCGCTACAATGACCAAGTTTTGCAAAATATATAATAAGGACTTCACTTCCGGCATTTTCCTCTTTTTCCCCGTTTGTTAAAAAAGATTCACTTAGCCCTAATGGAACAATTTTGTCTGTTTGCAAATAACTAAACTGTTCTTCGTCGCTTATAGGTGAAGGTCCTTTTCGATATAATAGTTCATCAGTCACTTTTCGTTTGAAGAATAAATTGTTTTCACAGCTCATCTTCCTTCATCGGTGCTTTTTTTATTATCGATCAGAATTTTATTTAATTTTTGTGACCATAAAACGGTTAAGTTTAATTTGAAATTTTTTATAAAAACATTAACTATTTTAGCGCTGCATTATTAACATTGGTATTTAAAGCGTTTCCACTGTATTTCTTTATGCATTTATGAACTGCATCTTTTCTTTATTTTTCACAGCGTCAACAGCATCTTGCATTTCAATTCTTTTAATTCTATAATAGGATTTACAGTTGAAATCACACTTTTTATTGCTGCAAGTAAATGTTTTTATTTTATTTTGATATTTTGTTTTATTAAAATTTAAAACAAATAACATGCTTTTTTTAAAGTTTTATTTATTTAAATTTTAAAACAAAATTGTATAAAAAATTAGTTTTCCAAATATTAGTAGAGACGCACTTTTATGGATTGAAGTACGTCTGAATTGACTACAAAAAAACTCCTCGGTGTTCCATTTATTTTCAAATAAATGTGGTATTTCGATAATTAATACTATTTTTGTTGAACAATGTATATTGACAACCGTCAACAACCGATTGAAAAACCATTGTCATCATTCATTTTATAATGCAAGTTGTCGTTGTTATTACGCAAGTAGTCGTTGGTTTAAACAAACAACATAGTTTATAATTTTTGTTTTTTACTTTGATATTAATTAAATGATAGTAAGCCCTTCAAAATTATTTTTTATACTTTTGTTCGATATTACATAAATAATTATCAAAATGAATTGAAATGATAAAAGCAATGTTTTGTATTCAATAAGTTTGGATTCTTGCTTGAAAAATGGACTTCGAATATATATTTTTTTAAAGAACTATTTTTACATATTATAATTTGATTGTGGAAAGTACGAGAATATTTAATGGCGTTTCTGTGGTTTATGGTTTTAGTATTTTTTTTTTTTTTAACCAGTTTTAAACAATAAGTTTTTTTATTTTTTGTAAAACTGTTAATAAAATGCTCTTCAATTGTAAAAATAATAAGGTTTTAAATGAGGCATATTTGTTCTTTCATGATTCTTATAAAATTTTGCATTAAACGTTAAAATTCAAAAGGGTTTTCAATGTCTATTATAAAATTTATCTTTGTACAAAAAGCGTTTAGATTTTGTCTTTTAAATCTTAATATTATTACTGTAATTTAATGTTTAACGCGCTTAGTTACTGTTTAATGCGCTTAGTTACAATTATTATAACAAATGTAATTGGCTAAATTAGAGTCAGCTAAAGTGTAGCAAAAGGTCTAACTTTATGTCCTTAGTTGTTATAACGATTACGATTTGTTCTCTTAAGCAATTTATTGACATTAAATTTAACGGTTTTAACGTGAACAAATTTGGTAATAGGTATATATAACTTAAAATAAAATTTTACTTTATTATTTCTTTTTTAACTTTATTGTATTATTTGTATTCATAATATTAATACTATTATTCTTTTTTTAAATTTAATTATAACTTATAACTATTTTTTTTAGATAATTATTTGTGCTAGTCGGTAAAATGCGAACTGCGATACGGTAAACTTTTTTGCGAACTAAGACATATTTTAATGACCACTATGGTTATAGTGTTTAAAAAAACTTTTGCTCGTCAATTGTTTAATTTAAATTAAATATAGTGTAACTTGATAAATTTTATTTAAATCAGATTGTATTTCTTTTAAATTAAATATAATTTATGTTACTGATTGAAGTCCATACAATATATAGTAAAATAAACAATTTAACGGTAAACGGAAAATAAAAAATATTACATCATTAACAACCAATAGAACTTATGGTTCGCAAAAAAGTTCGCATTTTATCGGTTTGCATTTAGCATTTTGCAGTTGGCTCCATCAGATTCTAAATTACTTTTTGTTCTGAAAAGTTGTCAGTTTCCTGTCAGATTGACTCATTCAATGACAATTAATTAAGTCAAACATTTAATTAATTAATTAAGTCAAACATTTGATAGAGCTGGTGTGCATCTAAAAAATACTGCGGGCATGTTTGATATTGGCATGGGGGGTCAGGGTAATAACATTCGTTTTTACCATGTATAATAACATCCGTTAAACAACATCCGAAATTTCATCGATGTATAATAACATCCGTGCATTAACATCCCAAATTTCATTGATGTATAATAACATCCGTGCAACTACATCTGTAGATTTTTTGGATGTAACTACATCCGAATTTTTTTTTTTTTTTTTTTTATGCATTATTTTAACCAGATGTTGTTACGCATCTGATTTTTTTTGGATGTAACTACATCCGCCAAAAAAAAAATATTGTAATGCATTACATAATGTGATGCATTTACATAAATGAGGATTATTCCTTCGATACAATGGTTATACGGAAAAAATTACTTGAAGAAATGAAAGTCAAGAGGAACAACGGTATGTACTCGACTGTTATTTAAATAATGATTATTTGTTATTTGTATAGTTATTATTGTAATTATTGTATTATTGTATTATTGTATAGTTATTATTTGTATAGTTATTATTGTAATGTTAGGCGCTACTCGACTTTCTCCCCCCCCCCCCCTGTTTTTATGATTGATTTTTATAGAGTATATTATACTGATTCTAAATCATATAAAAACATAGGTCTGAAAACTTGAGGAAAGTACTCTAATTTGATGTTAAAGTATAAAAATCCACATTAAAAACGCTAATATTAGCCATCTTTGTCATACTCGGTTATAATAAAATTCCTTTTCAATAAAAACTTTGAAAAACCCTGGTTTCTATCGACGCTTCAATTTAAAACGCATTTTTTATTGATTTCCTGCCCCAACCAAACCCTGACCAAAATCATGTACATTTATTTACGCCAATTCCTATTTGTCAGTCGATGTATGTATATTTAATCGCGCCAATTCCTATTTGTCAGTCGATACATGTACATTTAGTTGCGCCAATTCCTATTTGTCAGTCGATGCATGTACATTTAGTTGCGCCTATTCCTATATGTCAGTTGATGTATGTACATCATAAAATATAAAAACAACAATAAAAACCGGGTTGTTAGTTAAAAAATTAATTACCTAAATTTTAAAAACAGTGTTAAAATGTTTTTAAAAAGATGGTGAAATATTAGCGTTTTTTAATGTGGATTTTTATACTTTAACATCAGTTTAGAGTACTTTCCTCAAGTTTTCAGACCTATGTTTTTATATGATTTAGAATCAGTATAATATACTCTATAAAAATCAATCATAAAAACAGGGGGGGGGGGGAGAAAGTCGAGTAGCGCCGTAATGTTATTTAAATAAATGATTAAATTTTAGCGTTTTGATTTTTTAGTTTATCATAAATATTTATGATAAACTAAAAAATCAAAACGCTAAAATTTAATCATTTCAATTTATTATGTTTTTTTTTTGTCTTTATACTTTTTTACTTATAATGGATAAAACTAAAAATTTTTATAAAAATTCACGGTTTAAATCTTTTCAAATAAACAATTCAGATCCAGATATTAATTTTTATGATAGTAGCGATGAAATGAAAAACATAAGTCCATTATATTACAACTTAAATACTTCAAATCCTGAAATAGATATAGATGCATTTTCAATCCTACATTTTTTACTCAGCACAAAAACGGAGTTTAAAGTTATTTGCCTCACAGAAACTTGGTGTCACAATATTGAAATTGAAAACAATTCAAACTTTCAATTAAATAATTATAAAGTAGTTTATCAACTAAGAAACTCTAATAAACCAGGTGGAGGAGTATGCATCTTTATCCACAATTCATTGATTTATAAACCGCGAAGTGATTATTGTACACCAAGTAATGATTGTGAGTCACTGACAATTGAAATATACCAAAAACATAATTGTGCATGTTTTATACAGACCGCCCTTAGGTCATACGGAAATATTTGATAAACACATAAAAAAAATTAATTAAATAAAGATGTTTGTAGTAAATGCGTTTACCTTGTGGGCGATTTGAATCTAAATGTATTAGAATTATTAGTATTATGACTCTAATAAAAACATCAGAAACTTTCTTAATTTAGTATTTCAAAATGGATTTATTCCAATTATTAATAAACCAACTAGAATTACCTAAAATAGTGCAACCTCGATTGATCAAATTATAACCAACAAATTTATTAACACAAAAGTTAAAACTGGAATATTTATATCGGATATCGGATCATTTTCCAATTTTTATTGCAACTCAAAAGTGTAATCTTTCAAAAAACTTACAAAAAGTAAAAATAACTAAGCGAAACATTTAAGACGTTTCTGTCGAACTTTTTAATCAATCTTTATCTTCTGAAAACTGGGAAAATATTTTACAAATAAAAAGAACTAACAAAGCCAATTTACTTGATATACTTAATGAATCAAAAATTGCAAAAATATTTAATCAAGTTTTTGTTAGTGTAGGATCAAATTTAGCCTTAAAACTAAAACCTGATAAATTTAGCGTAGAGTCATATTTTAACTCCTAACAATACAATAATGACCAACAATAAACTGACTAAAAATGAGTTATTAATTGCTTTTCAAACGCTAAAACTAAATAAAGGATTAGAAGTTGATTAATGTTGTAATAAAATCTATGCATTATTTAATAACACCACTGTTGCATATTTTTAATCTTTCTTTAAAACAAGAAATATTTCCAGAAAGTTTTAAAATTGCAAGAGATATACCGGTTTTCAAATCGGGTGATTCTTCTAATGTCTCTAATTATAGACCTATTTCCATTCTTCCTTGCTTCTCTAAAATTCTGGAACGAACAAATGTATAATAGACTAGTTTCTTTTCTAGAAACATAAAATATTTTATACAACAAACAATTTGGGTTCAAAAAAGGTCATTCAATTGATCATGCTATTCTTAAACTTGTTCATGATATTGTTCAAGCTTTTGATAAAAAAGAGTATACATTAGGTATTTTTAGAGACCTTAGCAAAGCCTTTGACACAGTTGACCACCATATTTTATTAAAAAAACTATTAAATTACGGAGTTAAAAATGCAAATATAGTTTGGTTTAAAAACTACTTGTCTAATAGAAAGCAGTATGTTTCTTATGATGGTGGTAGAACTGAAATTAAGACAATCACTTGTGGAGTTCCTCAAGGATCTATTTTAGGACCGCTTTTGTTTTTAATATACATTAACGATTTAAGCAAA